CCTGCCGCCACGGTCCTGCGTCACCGGTTCCTGCGGCACCAGTCCCTGCGTCGCCGGTTCCTGCACCGGTTCCTGCGATACCGGTTCCTGCGTCGCCGGTTCCTGCACCGGCTCCTGTAACACCGGTCCCTGCGTCGCCGGTCGCTGCGTCGCCGGCTCCTGCGCCACCGGTCCCTGCGTCACCGGTTCCTGCGAGGCCGGTTCCTGCGAAACCGGTCCCTGCGAGGCCGGTCCCTGCGAAGCCGATCCCTGCGAAACCGGTCCCTAGAAAACCGGTTCCTGTAAAACCGGTTCCTGCGACGCCGGTCCTTGCGTCACCGGTCCCTGCGACACCCTTTCTCCACTTATCCAGATCCCCCTGCAGCTTCTTGATAGTCTGTTCGCACTTTTCAATCTTGTCACCCACGTCCTCCTTCAACCCGTCCATCCACCGCATAAGGCCGGCAAGCCCTGCTTCCACCTCCAGGGCAAGCCCGAGTTCTCCACCCTCCGCGCCAAACCGGATTCCAACCACGTCGCCGTCATCCTTTTGCACTAAGGCAGCTCGCGCTAAGGCAGCTCGCTCCGAGACAGCTTGCTCCGAGACAGCTTGCTTCAAGTCAGTTTGTGCCGAGGCGGTTATATCCTCCCGATACTCCTTTTCCCCATCGTCCAGCCGTAAGCCCTCGTCAGGGAAACTAGCACGGAGATCCGAAGCCGATTTCGGGAACCCTTCCCTCCCCCCGGTGGTCTCCCCCCACCACACCTTGGTCCACCACACTTTGCGGGGATCGCCGTCCTGAAAGTCGAGCAGCCGGCGATGCCTGGGCTCATTCCACTGCGCGAGGTCGGCATCAAACGGGCTGCCGGAGATCCGGGCGTGGTAGATCCAGAAGAGCGACGCGTACCTGATAAACGGGTGGGCCAGGACGCGCTCTTCGACCTCTTCGGGCCACGCCGGGTGCTCTTCGGTCGGGGCCCAATCACCGGCGCCAGGTGCTTCGGACTCGTGTTGGAACAGGTAGTCGGCGCAGAGGAGGCTAATGTTCTTGTTGGAGTTCTTCTCGTTGCAGTGGTACAGCCCGTGGTTGGGGTGGGGCGATTGGGGAGGGGTCGTCATCCGGAGGTACTCGCGCAGAGAGTGGTGGACGGCCCCGATGAGCCCGTCGGACCAGACCCTAACTAGCGGGGCACATCGGTCTCGGACCTCCCGTGTCAGACTCTGATGCTTCCCACAAAAGGCATCGACCTCGGGGTCGTTAGAGTCCACCTCGTCCCAATCACAGTTTTGGACGCCCCCGACTCTGCTAACTAGGGCGCATGCCGTCAGCAGTTCTGGTTCGCGCATGCGTTCGGCTTGGTAAGTCAGCCAGAATATAATATTCTGAAGGAAATCCTTGTCCTCCTGGTTGCCCCCCTTGGAAATCTCCCCGAGAAATTGCTCGAAAAGCGGAAAGATTCCAGTGGCCAGCTCGTCCCTCGATTGCCCGTTGCCCGACACCAATCTCTTTACGGCGTCGTCAAGTGCGACCCGGGCCCAGAGATACATGCCGCTGGCACCTGTCTTGATCTGCTGCTTTATGTCGTCCGCGATGGTGGAGCCGTTGGGGTGCATCCGGACGACGTCCAGCACTTCATTGGTGGTCTTCTCGATGTCGGGGGTCGTATCATCTGGCGTGATGCGGTACTCGGAGAAGCGAGCAGTCTTAAGCGCCGCTTCGAGGCTTGGCTGGGGGCGGGAGAGGACTAGCAGCCAGACCCTATCGCCGATTATGGAGGAGAGGTCGCGGCAAGTGATGCACTCGAAAAACTTGTTGGGGTCGCCCTCCCCGACATCTAATTTGTCGACCTCGTCGACGACCAGCGTTAGGCGACGCCCACCCTTGGTTGCCTCGGCGACGACGTGCCCCCAGAGCTGCTGGGCTTCGTAGGGTGTAAGATCGCACACGGGCTTGGCCTGCTTGAGCCTAGCGGCGTGTGCCAGCTCCGGCTGGGCCACGAGAAGGTCGTGAAGCAGCCACGCGAGCACCGACTCGGGCGTTCTGTACCCGCCGGCCATGTCCCCGAGACAGCAGTAGGCTACTGTCTGGGGCTGGTAACGTTTATCCTTGGATGGTGACGGATCCGAAACCAGCCCCACGATGTACCTGCCGAGGTATGTCTTCCCGCAACCCATGTCCCCGTAAATCCACAGCAAGCGCTTGGCCTGGTCTTGGTCCAACCATTCCTTGAATCGGTCTCTTCCCTCGATCCAGGAACACGTGCCCGGGGTAGGCGGCCTCGACACTTGTTCCTGGCGCACTTTGTGGGGGCGGAGCAGCTGCAGCACTCGAGGGAACTCGGCCGATAGGGCCACTAGGGAAAAAAGACTGTCAGCAGCTTGGCAGGGCTTCCGGGGGTGGGGGTTTCGGGCTCCCCCTCCCCCCCCCCCCCCTCTCCGTTGCCGACTTACTCTTCGCCTCGGGTAACTCCTGCATCCGCTTGACCACCTCGAACAATAATCCGGAGGCCGGCAGCCCGTCCGGACCGGAGGGCAGGGGGTGACCCGTAACCTTCGGATCCTTGCTGGCCTTTTTTTTCGCAGATTTAGCCGCTGGAGAGCCCGGAATTTGAGATGGATTGACTTACAGCTGGACCGATTTTCATGTCGCTCATGAGCAGAAGGCCTGGGATGCGAACAAAGGCCGCGGATATCTCTTTGAGCCCTTCAGCGTCCTCTGACTGCCATACGTCCCTTGTGGGTTCCCCTCGGGACATGTCCGTGGCTTCGTGAACGAGGCCCTCGAAGACCTTGCGCGCAAAACAAGTCAGCGCCTAATCATCTCGACATCCGCGTTTGTAACAGGAGATGGCCGTCACTTACGACTCCGAGAGTGAGGGAACCAATGTCTCTATACCGCGTGTCGAGTCGAGCGGTGATAAGGGCCTTATCAAAGTTGGGCGAAACGTTAGCTTCGCCATGACGCTTAGGGCGGTTTTTTAGGGGGGAGAGAGGTGTCCCGGAGTCCCATGATATATATATACCTTCTTGACGATGATACCGCCGGCGCCGCGGGTGATGAACACGATGGGGCGGAGCCTCGTGTCGTCTACCCGTCGTTGAGAAAGCTCTAAGAGCAGCCTTTCCGCATGATCCGACAGCTCCTTGCGCCCGTAGGGCTGGCGAAGAGTGTCATTGTAGCCAAAAGTAAAAACCCTGGCATCCGGCCACCCTCCGCCCATAACCGGTTGCCATGTCCGGGCCGGGTGACCCCCAAACTCGTGGACCAAGACGATGCTGAAAACTGCCGTCAGAATACCTCCGACTTTGCTCCTAAAAAGATAGATAGTTTGGCCTGCAACACGGGGGCACTCACTCGAAGCAGGGAGCAGTAGCGCTGGAGCTCGCAGCCTCGTGCAGGCACGAGAGCCCGAACGTAGTGATCGCCATGGTACGATAGCGCCTCGAGTCGCTTGGAGGGGGCGTAAACAGGAGCAGGAAGAGGGGCTAGCCAAGGAAAATACACTAGCACAGGTAGGTAGGTGGCCGCGAAAATGAAATAGAGCAGGCAGGGGGCCTTGGACCTCTCTCCGATCGCGAGGAACTTCGTTAGGTCTCCTCGGGACCATCTCAAGACAAGTTAAACATCGGGATATCACTCGGCCGGCCGTCACCACCAAAAACCGCGCTTCTCCGCATTAGCGGCTCCACGCCTATTGGGGCGGATGAGTTTCGCGTTTGCAGGCCTTACGACAGCGGCAATCGCGGCGCCCGCAAAGCTTCGCTTCACAACTGCACGTCCGTCACTGCAACGTCGTCAAGCAAATCACATCTTGCCACATATAAAGCCGTCGTGACCATCGTGAAGCCGAAAACCCTTCTCCCCTCGCGGGGATGGATGGGCTCGTGCCCAAGAGTTTTAGCCTCGGGCGCACCACGAGCTTTCCAAGCGTGCCGAAGCGTTTCCAGTTTCCATCCTTCGATTTCCCCCTGTTTTACACGCACACACACTCTCTGCCTCTGCCTCTCTCTCTCTCTCCATCTCTCCTTTTACGCAAACAAGTCGCCGGCGCCACCGAGAAAGCGTATGTTCGAATATGTTTTGCCGAATAGACTAAATAGTAACTGACCAAGCCGACGTAGCGAGAGCAACGACCCCAAGCGGACCCTCCGCTTCCTCGGCCTCACTCGCCGATTGGGCAGCAGCAGGGCTGCATACCGGAAAGAATGAGCGACTCAGCCTCGAATGTCGGGACCCCCTCTTCCCCCAAAGATGGGACCTCCGACGCTGGGCAAGACAACACTTGGGGCAAGAGTGGGAACCTGAGTGAGAAGCTCGCGGCTTTGGAAGAGAGGCAGGCGGAGCTAAACAGGAGGATCCAGGAATGCCCGGGCCTCGAATGGGTGATAGGCCAGGTGGACGCTTCCCGGGAGAGTGAGAAGGGGGAGAACCCGAGCGAGAAGCTCAAGGCTTTGGAAGAGAGACGGGAGGAGCTAGACAGGATCCTGAAAGCCCTGGGCTTCGAATATTTGGTATATCGGGTGGACGGTCACGCGGGCCCCTCTGCGGGACTTGCGGGCCCCGAATAGCCTCGGGCGGACAATGGGTAGAACGTCAATTGAATGACGAAATAAACGCACACAGTCAGGTACTTTTAAAAACCACCTTACCGATTTTGGCCTTGCTTCACCCCCCTGCACACAAAGGTAAGGTACTTTTCCAGCTGGCCCAAAACCTCTACCTCCTTTGTCTCAGTGCTCGGACCAGATGTGGGGTGGTGCGGCCAGATGCACCTGCTACATACTGTACCCCACGGAAAACTCGACCAATCAGTTTCGTTCCTCAGTTTGCCGTGAACGGATTGATTGCGGCTCATAAATACCCCACAGATACCTGCTGCGCCCAATCCCAGTCACAGAATCCACGAAAATCCCCGCTCCTCCCAGCCCAATCCTGCTCACGGCTGAGCACTGACACTATGGCCGCCTCGCATCTGGTCTAAACACTGAAACTGAACTGGATGAGAGAAGGGATTCCAGACCAGGCAAATCGACGCTGGCGTGCATAGACGCCCGATGTGCCGGGCGCCGGCGGCTTATCGGGCGTCATTGTGCAGAAACTGACCGAATGAATCCAATGCAAGCCGGCCCGAAAGGCCAACTCTTCATTTGCCGGGTTCTCGACGTGCACTTTTGATTCAGGCTCTCCTCATGTCGCTCGCCTCACTATCGTGACTATTTGCCCAGACGTGGAATGTGATTGAACCATGGCCGCCATCTCTCCCACCAGGATACGTGTTAGTCCCAGTGTGGGCTACTTGGCTAGGCAGCCAACCGGGCCAGAAGCAGCAAGCACGCCCGGGCGCCGTAATGCTGCCAAGCCACTTTTTTTTCTTCCGCGGCCATTGAGAGAGTATCAATGCCCCTCTCCGCTTTCAATTGCCTTGCAACTGGGCCGCCATCGAGTGAGCCTGCCTCTGAAGAAAATCAAGGGGCATTGCATCCCAGACCTCCTCAATAGCTAGCCGACCCTGTCCAAGGTTTTGGAGTTTGTATCTTGCAGTCTCTTCCAGCCGGTTTTTCGTTCAGTACCGCACACTCTCAAAAAGGTCACAAGGGAATTGGGGAAGAGATGGACAGGGTACGGATACTAGTTTTGCAATAGAAAATATATATGGTTTGGCTGCACCGTGACTTCTTGGTCCGCTTGACTTGGTTCCGGCTTAGCGGACGCCCGGAGATAGTCACAGGAGGCGGTGACGGTGAGCCTTTCCCCACTTGTCCGCAGCGCAGCGCTGTCGTTCCGACGCCACAGACGAGGCAAGGCTCGGTGAGGGTCGCGCTTGTCAAAAGCGGTGCAACAATCGTGCACTGAAAAAAAACATCTGAGCCTGGGTCTTGGGTTGGTCTTGCTTCGATCCCTAATATATAAGAGGACTGGCTTCGCTCGCGGGCATTCATTCCTCTGTACAGCATCTCACAGCATCCCACAGCATCTCGCCGTTACTGAGCGATTTGACAATGACGCCTCCGCCTTGTCCCACAGAACGCGTGAGCCGCCCCGGAACTGGAGGGAGTGATGGACCCAGGCTGACATTTGCCCCTAGAAATTTTGCTCCTGTCCCCATCTGGAACCCGGCGGATCCATCTCGACCGCGACCGACGGCGGGGAACAAGCGATACACGAAGCAGTTGAAAGTGATGCGGCTCGCACCGCAGAACTTGCAGGGGACTTGGAAAACAGGATCAACAGTTTCACGCGGGGGCTACAAAACAGGAGACCGCGCGGAGCGCCCGCCGTGGTTATTGCCATCGCCGTGGTTGCTGCCATCGCCGTCGTCATTGTCTTGGCGCTCTGTCTCACCTGCGTCCTGCATGTGCAATGCCGCAGCCGGTGCGATTTGTAGGTGTGGGTTGAGCAACGAAGTGGGTGGTGGGAGGGAGGAGCTACCAGTTGGATTGGTCATCGACATTTATGTAATTCACGCCATGCATTTTCAATCAGCTACCTACCTAGTCTAAGAGAGGTTACCCATCTTAAGCACGTGTGACCACGCCAAGGGTGCCTAACCTCTCCTGCGCGACTCGACTGGCGGCTTATGGGTCGGGAAGCGGAGCACCACCACGCGGCCGGAACGGCATCCTAGCACAATGGTCGACGGCGTCGACGCCCCAGGTTCCGGAAGCAATACCGCCGTGCTATCCGGGCGGAAGGCCGGCGGCAGCCATAGCATCTTCTTCGACTCCCACGTGACCCAACCGCTGTCGATATCTACCCCATACCCCTGGCGACGAACCTCTCGACCCATGTTCCCAGTCCCAGTCCCGGTCTTATCCCGAGCCGGAGTCATGTCCGTGTCGTTGAGGAGGAAGAGACCCACATCCGTCAACAGTCGGGACTGGCTTGCGTCAAAGGCCACAAGGTCGACGCGACGGGACCCGCGGGTGTCCAGCGCCTGAAGGCAGCAACCGTCCTTCAGATCCCAGATCTTGATCCTGTCGTCGTACGACGCCGCAAGACGGCCGGCGTCGGACGAGAAGAGAAGCGCCTTGGCTGTGGCATCGTCGCCGAGCGTCTGCGTGCACGCCCGACGGGTCAGCTTCCAGAGCCGGATGGCGCGATCGAGCGACGTCGCAATGCAGCCGTCGGGCGCAAACGCGACGGACCCGGCACCTGGCTCGCTCCCGCCCCCCTCCTGCGGCAGCGGGTCAAACACGCGGACGTACCGCTTCTTGGTCAGGTCCCAGACCCTGAGCGTACTGGACGTCGTAAGGATGGCGACCTGCGCCCCGTCGCACGAGAAGGACGCCGCGAGGCCGTAGTCCGGGATGGTTTGGAGCCGGCCGCCCGTTTCCGTGTCCCACACGCCAACGTCCTCGCAGCTGGACAGAGATACAAGCCGGCCGCCGTCGGGAGAGAGCACCACGTCGAGGATGCCGCCACGAGCGGTTTCGATCTCGCGCGGGCGGCACCCTCCTACGGCGAGGTCCCAGATCTTCATGGTGCTGGCTGACGCCGACACCATGGTGGTGGTGGTGGTGGTGCCGCCGCCGCCCGAGACCCGGATGATGCTGATCTTGCCAGGGTGGTCGCGGGTCGCCTGGAACACGCCGCCATCCGTCGACGCCGCGGCCCGGTAGAGCCGGAGCCCCCAGGCGCCTATGGTTGCGAGCTGGCGGCCGTCGGGCGAGAAGACCAGGGACCGTACGTGCCTGTCATAGCCTTCGAGCGTCTGGAGCCGACGCCTGGTCACCGTGTCCCAGGTCTTGATGGTGCCCCCGGGCGACGCGGTGAAGTAGCGGCCGTCGATGGAGAGGGCGACGGCGCTGTACGGGTCGTGTTCCGAAGGGACGTCGAGCATGCCGAGCCGCTCTCCGGCCCCGGTGCTCCACGTTATCAACGACTCGTTGCTCGCCGATATTAGCTTGATGCCGGCGCTGCTCTCGGGTGAGAAGGCGACCAGCGTGGCTTTCACACCGCTGATGTAGCAGAGTTGGCGGCCCGATTCGGCGTTCCATATCCGTACCTCCATTTCGTGTGCCGACGCGAGCCGGGTGCCGTCGGCCGAGTAGGCGACGGAGCCGGCGGCGCTGGCGGATCCGTGGCGGAACTGGAGCGCGCGGTCTCCCCTCTCCCAGTCCCATATGTTCATGTAGTCACCGGCCGCGGCCGCAAGCCACACGCCGTCGGGCGAGAAGGCGGCGGCCGAGATGTCCGGAAGGTCGATCACGCGGTCGTGCCAGGCGCCCTTGGCCAGGTCCCAAAATCGGACGACTCCTCCTTGTCCTCCTGCTCCCACGCCGGCGGCCGTCCCCAGCAGGCTGCTCTTGGGGGGGAAGGCCATCCAGCCGCCGGCGTTCTGGAGCCTCCAGACGCGGTTCCCCGTCACCGCGTCCCAAACCTGGACCTCCCGTTTCGTCTCTCCCTGGCGGTCGCCCTGAAGTGCAGCCGCGACCCAGTCGCCGTCGGGAGAGAAGGAAACGGGCCCGACGATGACGAGTCCGTCAGTGCCCGGTTCCAGCGTCTGAGACCAGGGGCTCCAGTGCTCCTCTCGCATCTCGTCGCCAGCGACGGCGACCCAGTCTGGCGTCTCGCTCTGAACGAGCGCTCCTATCGTGCCGCCGGACGGGGCAAAGACTACAGCTGAGGCGTACGCCTGCAGGGGGCGCTCCATGATGGCCTGCCCGTTGCACTCAAAGAAACGCTGGGCGTCTGCGACGAGCTCAACCAGCCGTTTCGCGCCTTTTTCCCCCTGTGTGAACGCAACGTTAACCCACCGCCCGGATCTTACTTTATTTACTCTGGCTGGGAAGGAACTTACCTGGAGATACCCGACAAGCTTGGTCCAGGAGGAGACGGCGGTTCGTATCCCGCGTACGAGGCTGAGGCTCTCGACCCAATAAAGGTATTTGGACTCGAGGAAGGCGGCGAGGGCGCCGGCGTCGCGCGTGTCGCGGCCGTGGTAGCAGCTCGAGATGAGATGCTCGATGAAGTACTCGCAGGCGTACGCGGCCGTGGCTAGAGGGTCGGGCTCTGGGGCTTTGACGTCGACGGCGAGGGTGCCCGGGCTGTCGAGGCCGTACATGTTTCGCCGTAGCGTCGCCTCCATAAGGCTGAGCGACCGCAGGAACACGCGGCGGTGCTCGCTCTCGAGGCCGTCGGGGAAGAGCACCCTATTGCCGCAGAGAAACTCGCGGGCCTGCGGGTCGACGGAGAAGGTGGTGAGGCCGCTGATACCGAAAGAGTTGCACTTCCGTATGATGTCGTCAGCGGCGGCCGCGTCGTTGGACGGGAGGCCCGATAGCGCGTAGAGCTCCTCGCGGCGCAAGGGTCGGTGGGCGATGGCGATGGTGGCCAGCACGCTCCGGCAGAGGTATCGGGTCTCGCCATCCAGGTGCTGGATGCGGTCGGACGCCTGCCTGTACAAGCCTTCTGTGTCGGGTGCTGCCTCCCTCAGGATGCCCGGCATCTCTTTGGTCGACACGGCCTTGAGCCTTGCGACGGCGAGAGTCACGTACTGGAACGTGCCTCCGGCCCTCTCCCGCAGGCCCTCGCGGATCTGCTGCTGCAGGTCGTCGTCCGCGCCGTCCGCCAGTTCGGCGGCGCACTGGTCAACGTAAGCACCGACAGCCAGCGTCAGCTCTTCGGCGTAGTCGTCCAGGTCCACACCCCGTCGCCCGACCTTGCCGACTTCCAGGCGTCTCGCGATATCCGCCCGCCGGCTGCTCGTAACCAGCCACTTAACACGAGTATCCGGCTCCGCCGCCGTCTTGGCGATCAGCGAAAGCAGTCTCTCGAGATCCTCGCCGCAGCCGTCGAGCGCGTCGACGACAAAATAGGTCACACGCTCTACTTTTGGCAAAAGGTCGAGAAAGATGTCGCGCAGTGAATACCACGCGCCTGGGCCCTCAAACAGCTTGGACCCAACTTTTTCGTGCCGGACTAGCACGTGGCCGATTAGCTCGGGCTGCTGGCTGATGAGCAGGTAGATCAGGCCGCGCAGGACGGCCGCGGCGCTGTCGGCATTTTTGTTGCCGGCCTCGCAAAAGAAGAAGGCCAGACGGTTCCCCTGGGGCGTGATGGTGCGTTGCAACTCGTTGACGACGCCGCAGAGCAGCATCGTCTTGCCCGTACCGGGCCCGCCCTTGATCCAGAGCAGGCGGGCGTCTGCACCGTCTCGCCACTGCCGAAAGGCGTCCTGCTCCAGGATCCAGCGGTACGAGTCTTGCAGCAGGCCGCCCTTTGCGTCCTCGATGCGCTGCTTGTCGAGCCAGGGGTTGGTAATGTACAGGTCCCGGAGGCATAGCGCCTCCTTGTTCTCGGCTCCTAATCACGCCCCAAGGCACCGAGACCCCAAACGTTAGAAACCGGAAACGACAAGTCGTCCGCGCAGACATGGGCCAGCCTTACCTCCGAAATATTGACTTATCGTGCCGATCGGAGCATTGATTTGCACGCCGCTGCCGGTCAATACGTTTGAGGTCGCGATCGCCGTAGTGTCGCTTGCCGTTGGTTCCTCTCCATCTTTTACTGACATGATAATATACCAAGGTAGGAGAAATTATACCGAAGGCTAGCCTTGATATGTGGAGTCTGGGGGAGGACGAGGGTGACAGGATCGTAAAACTCCAAACGAGTATCCAAGGGAGGTTGCGGGGAGAATTTGGGGACCCAAGGATTTGCTGGACCGCCACCTCAGCTGCTTTATATTCCGTCTGGCCGCTCATTTTATCTTCCTGAGCCGACGTGAACGGCTCGTGCGGTTCGCGCGGTACACGCGACGGCTGCTATCAAAGTTCGGGAGGAGGGGGGCTCCTTCCCCCGAATACCCCCCTACCATGAAATTGGGCAAAGGCGCATCTAGGCAACCAACCACCTTGGTTTTTGCGTCGATGCCTAACCGACTGTTATTCCCCTCGAAGTCCTGCATGTTTCCCCTCAGGTTCTTTGCTTTTTTTTTTCGGGATTTCTTGGAGATGCCGACTTGGAAAGTGGGGGAGGGGCAATGAGGGTTTCCGGTACTCTGACCACCGGCATATCGCCTGGACGGACATCACGTCTCGTACTAGTGGTCACCGACAGTCTAGGTCTCTCATTGTTCACAAAATGGCTACTACAATAAACGTGAAACAAGTTTCCTAGGCACTAATGAGAGGTTCCCCCACAGCTCGGCCTGGCCAGCGCCTGTCCATCGAAGAATTCGGCCTGGGCATATATGCCGCTATTTCACGGAGACTCCAGCCCCAACCCCTCCCAGCGCCGCGAAGATCCCCGCGAGGGCAGCGGGATCTCCAAACACGGGGGCGTTGATTTGAGCCGCGTCTTCAGACTTATTTCCCTTAGCTTCAACGATCAGGCGCCCATCCCCGCGGGCTCCTCCTATGGCCGCGTTGATCTGGTATTTTCCCTTTACCTCGTTCCCGTCGGCCGTGAAAATGTCGCCCGGCAGCCGTTGCCGGAGGTTCTTTCCTGCCTGGACCACCGCGTCCACCGCATTGTCGAATCCCTGCGTTGCCAGCATAGCCGGGCCCGCGCTCGAGAGCCGAGCAAGCTCCATGGTAGCGACCTTGAGTTTCTCGAGAGCGGCGCCGACGAGTGGCGTGTGTAGATCTTCCTGAGACTTGATCCTCTGGACGAGCCCCCTGACGGCGGTGAGATTTTCGGCGTGCTTGGGCAGCGCCGGCGAGGCGTTTGGGGCCTGGCAGCCTGCACGAATCAGAACGGCGGCTCCGTCCAGCAAGGCCAGGGTAGCCTCGGCTTCGGTAGCTATGTCGGCGGCGGCCGGGGGGGTGGCTTGGGCGGCGGCGGCCTTCCGAGCAAACACCTTTGGAAGCATCTGAGTGGGCTGTCAGCGGCCTTTCTCTTCCCTGGAACGCCTTTCGGTGGGGCGGGACTCGCACGAACGTTTGTTGTTGCCTGGGCCGTTGGGGGGGATTTGATGAGGGGGTCGGTAGATACAGGAGAAGGGTCTGGTGGTTCGACGAACTTCGGGTGCGGGAAAGTTCCCCTGGGGAGGAAGTTGTGTTGGATGTAGTAGTTTTGATGGGCCTCGTGTGTGGGCTTTTATGCAAGACGAGGGATGCCGTGATACCATTACCTTGCCTACGATTCGGGCCTTTCCAAGCCAAGGCCGGGGCAGCTGCTTGCTGTTCGTTGGGCTGTTGTCTCGTTGGGCATTATTCGGTAAGGCTGGGCTCATTACTGGCGGGCTTGGAAAGTGAGGCTTCTCACATGGGCAGAATCGCGGAGTTGAGAACTAGGCGAGCTGGTAGATTGCTTTAGGTTCTGTCTAATGCAGTCCATGTGGCAGCTTCAAAGTCTTTTTGGGCATTATTATCCGCCATGAAGCACCGGGACGGAGTGCTTGCGTGCCCTCGTGCCCGCTTAGCGTTCTTTGTTGGGCATCATCACCTCACTCAACCCGATTGGCAGAGGTTGAGCCGTCGTGGCAGAAACCGGAACCTATTGCACATCCGGCATATGCTTCCGCGAGTACGGAGTGAGCGGGGCTGATCTGCCCTTCGTGGCGCCACGCTACTCCTGCGAGACGGCAGCCTTTCCACCATCTGCTTGCCTCTGGTCCCTTTGGTACGCCTGCCGATTTTCTTGCCACGCTTACCGCGGAAAATATGGTATGCCAACGGAGAACGGGATCCGTCCGTCTGGCTGTGGAGTCGACAATCCAGTCAGCGGAAACGGGAGGGTCAAACATGGTACCGACGTCTACTGGATTTCATCTACTACTTCTAACCGGCTCTAGGACTTGGGAAAAACACGGGTACTGGGATTGTACCTTTTTACGGGCTGCAACGTGTAAAAGTACCTCCTTCCTTAACAATTTGTTAGTAAAAAGGCAATTTTTGCGGGAAAAGATCCCGGTGCACTAACATTACAGGGTAAATTGCTGTTAGGAATTTTTTATTGGCTGTACATATCGCTATTGCGGGTTGTAAATAGTAAATAAGGAAATTTCGTATAAAAAGTTATTATATCGAAAAATGTGCATGCGTTATTATTGCGCCCCGTAAATATTAAATAGCAAATAAAATAAAAAATTTCCGTACATTTTATATAAAAAGTTATTATTTTAAAAAAATTATATTTTATTTACTTTTTCCTTTTTGCTTTATTATTTTATATAGTATACTTGTACGTAAGCGCAACGCCCGTAATATTACTAAGCATTATTATATAAATTATCGAAAAATAAAATTTACAGCCGATTTTCCTGCTAATTTTTATTTATTTATTTATTTGTATGTATGTATTTATACGCTGTTATGTTTATGGAAGAAACCTTAGTGCTGCGGCTAAGTACATGCAAATGGGGGAAAACCTTTGGGTTGGGCTTAAAAAGGAAAAACCTTATGCCTGCGTTCCCGCTTCTTTGGCGGTGCGCTTCCGTAGCGATGTTAAACCGCTTTGGCTAACGCTTACTTTTTTCCACGCTTAATTGCTCGTAAAGGCTTTACCCGGGAATTAACCGTCCTCCCGCGTACAGCCCCTTTTGCAAAGGGCCGATAAAGCCGCGTCCTGCTTGCTTGTAATTGGTTAATTAATTGTTTTGTTATGTAATTTGCTAAAGCTTGCCAAGCTTAATTGTTATCGCTTTAGGGTTCGAATTGCCAATTTTATTTTGTTTGCCCAAATGGTTTAAAGCATTTAGGGACCTTTCCTTTCCCCCCCTTTTTTTATCTTTTTGTTACTTTTTTTTACTAGCCCGTTATTGGCGTTCCTTTATTTAGTATATTACGTGCGTTATTTTTCTTTTTGTTTGTGCTTTAAAAGGCTTTAACCTTTAAAGCACGTGCAAGGTAATAACTTTGCTAAATACGTAAAAAAAAGTGCATTCGAAAATCGGATTAATGGTGGTAGCGGACGGGTGCAAAGCGGTAGCGCAAAGGTAAAGGAGGTAAA